CGGGGCCGCGACGGGGCCGCGATAGGCGACGAAGGGGCCGCTAAGGGGCCGGAAAGGGGCCGCGTAGGGGGCCGCAAAGGGCAGGACAGGCCGCTAAGGGGCCGCGAAAGATTAAGGCAGGGCAGAGCGCGAAGCGCGCTTCGGGCACGTAGGAAAAAAAAAATAAAGGTGGGCCCTTAGGAAGGAACGGTCCCACTAGGGAACCCGCTCTATACCATGTGAAGAAACAGGAATGGGTGGACTAGGAAATGAGTTGGGTACAAATATGAAACCCTAGGAAACTGTACCCCATGGTGTCTACCCCACTACAGCCTAGACGGGCTATATGATTAATGTTTGACAATAGCGAGCAATAATAGCGTCATAGCACCCCTTCGCTGGCTCCTCCTGGGAGAATGGGCCGCCTCGGTCTGCAGGAGAAGGTCCATCAGTGCGAGGCAGGCAACGGTGTTGCGAGAGCTCCATACTTTCCGCACCAAGAATACCATATTGTACGTCACCTGCACAGTAGGAGTGGGCTTAGTAGGCAAGAGACTAGAGCCCAGAGGGGCCTGGAGAGTGTTGGACGCATGGGCGAACAACGCAGCGCCGTCCTGACGCTGGCTCGTAGAGTGACGATGGGCCTAATGGAGCCACGTGCTAAAGTCTATCGCACGACCCTCTGCGTCGAAGCGCATAACTCGAGAGACTCCATGGGGAAAGCTAGGAGCAACTGGAGCAAGGAGTGGCTGGAGAAAGTAGTGGCCGGGGCTAGGAGTGGCCGGAGCTAGGAGTGGCCAGAACTAAGAGTTGCCAGCGGGAGAAAGTTGCTAGGAACGTCAGCCTAGGAACCAGAAATTCATAAACATTGGACTAGGAGCGTTCGGCCAGGTACGACGCGCTAGAAACGGCAATCGAGTCACTAACTCTAAGTGACGGCAGCTGCCAGCCACTGTTGGTGGTGCCAATGGCAGGAGGAGTGTGCGAGATAGTGGGCATTAGTGGAGTGAGGTGGGGCACGGGAAGTGTTGCTGTTGCTATGGCCAGCTGGAAGGGGCTATGAGCGGCTGGGAGGGGCTGTGGGCAGCTGGGAGAAGAGTTCAATGGACAGCTGGGAGGGGCTGTGGGTGGTTGGGAGGGGCTTTGTGCTACTGTTTGGGGCTGTGGGCGGCTGTGAGAGGCTATGAGAGGCTGTGGGCGGTTGGGAGGGGCTATGTGCTGCTGAGGGGCTGTGGGCGGTTGGTTGCTAGCTTTGCTGCTCCTGGCGGCTAGCTTTGCTACACATGGATGCCCACATGTGTACTGGGCGTAGAAGTGACAGTGCACGCTGCGGCGCGCACTACTGCTATGACGCGTACTGCAGCAGTGGCGCGTGCTGCTATGGTGCGCGCTGCAGTGGAGCTCGTTTGTGCTGCGCGTGCTACCGTGACAGTACACGTTGTGGGGTACACCGTTTGCAGCACGCACGGGTGCGTGCGGCTTTGCATGTTGGCGTATGTCGGGGCGCGCTCGTTACTAAACGCACCAGTGTGCTCGCTCCTGCGCGCATCAGTGGGCTAGCGGTTGTTGACGGCTGGCAGGTACTAAAACGAGATTAACTAGCAAGGTAGGTGGGCACGGACCTACAAAACCTACTTTGATACCATCGTACAGTATTATGCAGTGGACTAGAAGCGAAAATAAGCACAAGTACGAAACGTCGATAGCAAGTGCTGTACCATATACTATGCATTTATTCTCAGCCTAATATATTTATCACGTATATGAATGTGAGCTGACAGGTGTGTGGGATGCTCTATGGGCTAATGCGCCCTATGTGGTAGTCCTCCGTATGTAGAGGTTGTCAACGGTGTTAGGTAACTGTTGGTTGGCTTGTTGTAGTGTGTGCCCTACGTGTTTTTCTGGTGTGCCGTGCACACACTTCTATCCCCATCTTACTGCCCTCTTCTTGTGTTCTCTAGCTACACTTCGTATACAGGTATATAATATAATTATAAATTAGGCAAGTTATCTTCACTTGATATGCAATATTTGTTGCGGGCTACAGTCTTATCCAAAGCACAAACTTGTCTTTTGGGTTCCAAAATTAATGATGACACATTCGAGGTTCTGGTGGACATTGTCCAACGCATGAATGTGGACGATGTAGCATTGTTGCCAACCACAGCTCTTCGCTGAATGTTTGTGCACCATGTTGCATGTTTGGCCGATCATTCTTCATTCCGTCAGAGGTTTGAGTGATGCTGCTGGGACCTAGTGCTTCTTGCAATGATAGCATCACGTGCTTTTGCCACTACGAAACAGATTTTTCCGTTTATCGCCACATGACTATCACGTGAGGCTATATTTTTCCTGGTTTTGATTCGTTGTCGAGCTACACGAGTCCTTGCTGACGTCTGTGCTATCTCCGTGCCATCCATTTCATCGACTGAAGGGAGACGATCTCTCAGGAAAAAACACTGCCCGCAATAATCAAAGAGCATATCATCTGGCCTTTTCTCTAAATCTGGAGGTGATGAGGGTTCCTACCCACTTCCCCACACGGGTCAAGCAACAGGTTTTAAGCGAGAAGTTTAATCACTGCGATTATGATTCAACAAAATGATCACGAAAAGCGTTGTATTTCGCAGCAAAAAGCTACAAGCACATTGACTTTTGTGTAAATATTGATGTCATTTACGCACGATAGGACAGTGTTAAATCGCTTGATGCATGGAGTCTGAAGCTGGAAATATTTAATTCACTGTGAAATTTTATGGTTTCGGCACTTCTCTAAAGCATCTCTCCACGTGTGAGTTCTTTCATGCTGCCCCAAGCATGAAGGACGGCATTTGTTGGATTTGGGGGGGGAAGGATGCCTTCTTTCATTCATGAAGCAGTCACACAACTCTGCCGCGAAATGCGACGCGGCTGAGCTCTCACTTCAATTCAAGCAAGGTCAGCCAGTCTGTCAATGACAAAATGGCTTGTCCTGTCCCTTTGGGGCTGGAGTGGACGTTGAGGGTTTCCGCGGCGCATTCCCAAGCATGCGTCACGCGTGCGGCGATTGTCCTCGTCATGATCCGCCCCTCCCCCATCCGCCCCCCGTCGCGTCCCATCCCCCTTCCAGTTTCCGCCAACTCATCTGCGGGTGTGGGTGTCTGCCTGCGCCCTTGAAGCCAGCCAGCATGCAGCGTGGCATGTGTGGTGAGCCCTTGCCTCGCCGTGTTGATGCGCCTGTATGTGTGTGACTCTGGCCTATCCACTTCCTTCCCCTCCACTGCATTTTGCATTCTTCCCTTTCATCCCCGATTCCGCGCCAGGGGATCTCTCGACGCGGGGAGTCCCCACGAAGTGGGTGAAAACGTTTTGGGGCATTACTTACAAGCCTATACACTTCAACTCACTAGTCGGGCTACCAGAGCTATACACTCCACCTTTTCCAGATGTCATTTTGGTGGTAAGGTACAGTTAGAGTTTCACACTTCTCTGCCAAATCAGTAAATTTTGTTGAGGTCTACAGTTTTTGTCATTGTCAAGAGCCCCCGAGATGCCCACAGTGCTTGTTAGGATTTCGGAAGCTGTAATGATGCCGCTCGACTCCAAATTTCCTTTGCCCCTCATGCTTTTGCATCTTCCCCCCAGCTTTTTCTCTGGTCCTCCTTCCTCTAGCAGTGGATGATGATGCGTTCTCTCCACGCCTACTTTCCAGCTTTTCCTGTTTTCCGAGCAAAGCAGCAGCATTTCGGCATTCCCTCCCCAACTTGCATTTATCACCACGGGACCTTCGTTGTTTCCACCAGTCCGTGCCCTTTCGCGTTCCCATTCCACAGGCCACCCACTCAGTCCACTGCCATGCTCTGTTTCCTTCTCATTCATCAGTGAAGTGCATGGTTACTATCTCTGACAAAGGGCGCTGAGTGCATGATAAGTATTCGTGTGTCTTGAACCACGTCCGGGACCGAAGTGTATGCATGTGAATCGTCGGGAACCAGTTGTCGAACTCGCACGAAATTAATTCAACGCGCACGCAACAAGCGCGGTACACTGTTGGCCCGAAACGGCTGCTTGTCCTCAGGTCTTCTTCAAGCTCATTCATTAAGCCTTTGCGGATCTTGTGTCGAAGTTCGTACCCGTTTTTCTTTTTTCGGACTGGTAATAGCTTGATTCTCTCAGCTATGTCGGGCGTGGCGCATAACGACTACTTTAAGGCTCCTGATCTGCACAGCCTTAGCGGGGGTTGCGGCTTGTCCTCCCTCCCTCCTACTCGTTTCCGTGCCGCCTCTTTGGAAAAGGCGCATGCTACTCACCCAGCTCTCAGCCAGGATTCTCTACCCATGTTGGCTCATAGTACCTCTTCTGCCTCCCCCGTCGCCTTCGTTTCTTGTGAAGGAAACGCTATTGCTGGCGACGGAAACGCCGTCGCCGTCGCATGTGCGCCAGGCAGCAGATTTTTTGGAGGAGTCTCTACACGAATAAACTCCCACTCAGCTGGAGATGGATATTGTGACGAGTTGTTTTTCCGGACGCACCCGGTGCCCCCGACCACCGTCGATGCACGAATCGCAACCCTCAATGATTACTGTGGGGTATATGATGCTCGAGACTCTTCCGATCCGGAAACTGCGGCGGCCGCCCGCGGGGAATTTGTCTTTCCGGGGAGACTTGTATCGCGGATGATGATGGGCTCGGAGCCTGGCGCATGGGCCGAGGAAGATGCTTCACAAAGATATTTCTCCCGCAGTAGCGGCGCCGGGGATGCCGCCGCAACCGGCGGGGCCATGCCAAGCGCTTGGCGTGCGCGCATTCTATCAGCTCTTAGATCGTCGGACGTATTGGATGCCGATTCGCTAAATTTCTATTACCACCAGCAGCAGCAACAGCAGCAGCAGCAGCAGCAGGATCGCGAGCCGTGCTCCGCGCAGTGCGCGCAACTCCCGCCACTCGTCATGGCGGAGGGCACCCACAGCGCCTCCCGTGGCGATTACCACCGCGAACACGGCGACGCGACGCTGCCAGGCGAGACTCTAGGGGGCCGGACCATGGAACGCGGTGCCGCAGCTTTACAGCTGCATCATGCCATGCAGCAGCAGCAGCATCATCAACGTCATCAGCAGCAGCATCATCAACGTCATCATCAGCAGCAGCAGCAGCAGCAGCAGCAGCAGCAGCAGCAGCAGCAGCAGCAGCAGCAGCAGCAGCAGCAGCAGCAGCAGCAGCAGCAGCAGCAGCAGCAGCAGCATGGCAGCTGTCGGCCGTCGACTAGCTCGTCGAGCGCGGCGGATGAGGTCGGGGGAATGGACGCCGTCGCGTTGCTGCTCGCGAGCCTTCCGCAACGTGACTATCAATCGCAACTCCGCACGCAGGCCGCGCCGCAGCAGGGTCACGCGCCGGGGCACGCGCACGACCACGAGCAGGTGGCGGAACATACGCTTGCGGCGCATTACCGTAACGACCTGCAGCAGCAGCAGCAGCAGCAGCAACGTCAATCCTCCTTCGAGCTCCAGCAAGACCTGCAGACATCCGGACAGAGGAGCGTCACCGCGTGCGACGTGTGCGACTCCATGACTCTCGGTTGCGACGCGAGCAGCGCCGGGAACAGCGCGACTGGCGGCGGCAATCGCGGCAGCTCTGGAAGGAGCGGCTTTACATCCGCCCGGCGGCAAGGCGGCGGAGGCGGAGGATCATCCGCGTCCGCAGGAGCGAGCAGCGGAAACAGCACCAGTGGCGGCGGAGGCGGCCGCGGTGGCGGCGGAGGCGGCCGCGGTGGCGGCGGTGGCGGCGGTGGCGGGTGCAGCGGAATATCCGACATGGGCGGTCTGCGGCGCTTCCTTCCCAGCAACAACGACAGCGACCACGGCGAGGCTGTCGACGGGTACGCCAATGACGAGTTCCGCATGTTCGAGTTCAAGGTCCGCCGCTGCATGCGCGGGCGCAGCCACGACTGGACCGAGTGCCCCTTCGCGCACCCGGGGGAGAAGGCGCGCCGGCGCGATCCGCGGAGGTACCACTACAGCGGAACCGCGTGCCCGGATTTCCGCAAGGGGACGTGCCGGCGCGGCGACGCGTGCGAGTACGCGCACGGGGTGTTCGAGTGCTGGTTACACCCGTCGCGCTATCGCACGCAGCCGTGCAAGGACGGCCGCAACTGCAAGCGCCGCGTCTGCTTCTTCGCGCACACGCCCGCGCAGCTGCGCCTCATGCCCTCCGCGGCGGCAGCTGCCGCCGCTGCTGCTGCAGCCGCCGCGGCAGCCGCCGGGGGGGACGGTTCCGCAGGGGACAGCTCCGCCGCGTTTGGCGGAGGTTCTGGCGTTACTGGCGGTGTAGGAGCTGATGGTGGAAATTCGGGGTGTAATAACGAACTTTCTAAAACGGGGACGGCGGTGGACGACTCGTCGCCCACGACTGTGTTTCCGTGTGACGTCAGCCGCAGCAGCAGCGCGGGTCCCCATACCCCGCCCCTCACTCCCGCCTCTTCTTCCCCCCCTAGCTCACCGCACCAACCTGGGGGTGCGGCGGCGACCGTGCTTGTGCAACAGCGGCACCAGCAACAGCAGCACCAGCAGCAGCAACAGCAGCACCAGCAGCAGCAACAGCAACAGCAGCAGCACCAGCAGCAGCAGCAGCAGCAGCAGCAGCAGCAGCAGCAGCAGCAGCAGCAGCAGCAGCAGCAGCAGCAGCAGCAGCAGGGAGAGTATGAGCAGTATCAGCATGCAGCACTGTCCTTCGCGCAAATGACCCCAGAACTCGGTGCCATACCTTCTCCGTCACCCTCGTCTTCCCCCTCCCCTACCCCTTCGCCTTCCCACCCCTACCCCTCTATCTTCTACCCCGTACCCTCGAAAGGATACCCAGTGGGTCCCCACGTCTCACCTCATACGAACGGTCTTGCCTTGTCTGCGGCGGCTCATACGCTCCCTGCTCATGCCTTCGACACGCAGCAGCAGCAGCAGCAGTTTACTCAGCAGCAGCAGAATATGCAGCAGCCTCAGCATCTGCTGCAGCAGCAGCAGCAGCAGCATCAGCTGTCGCCCGCATCAACCATGCACTTCCCCTATCCGACGCATCTGCACTCGGTGCATTCCGCTCCGCCCAATTTCGCTCACCTGCACTCCCAGCAGCAGCGGCTGCAGCAGCACCAGCTGGAGCGTTTCGCTGCGAGCGCAGGTGGCGCCACTTCCGAGCACATGGAGAAGCTGGTCGCTGCCTTTCGGAACATGGAGCTGCAGCACCAACTGCAGCACCAACTGCAGCAGCAGCAGCAGCAACAACAAGAGCAGCAGCACCAACAGCAACTCCAGTCCCAGCAGCAGCAGCAGCAGCAGCAGCACGCAGTGAATGTGCGTCTGGCAGCAAGCCGCAGCCTTCCAGTGGCTCACTCAGAGCCGCTCCGACTGACTTCAGTCAAGGCCGACACATACCTCACCCTCACTGCAGCTCATGCCTCCCTCGGCCATTCCAGCAGCACCGTTGCTAGCACGCCCATGCCCATGTCCATGCCCTTGCACATGCCCATGCCCGCGCCCATGCCGATGCCTGTAGCTGTGCCCCATCCTGACTTTCTGCACCACATGGGTGGTGGTCTGCACCTGCACAACCATGCATCCATGCCCTCCTCTCGCGCTGCTGCTTCTCCCGCCGCTGCTGCCGCTGCTGCTGCTGCCCCTGCCACAATGTTCTCATTGGCAGTGGCGACCGGAGCTGCAGCAGCTACTTCTGGGGTGGCTGGATGGTCCCTTCACAGGGCCGGATCTGCACTAACGGTGTCTGCAGCAGCAGCAGCAGCAGGGGCAGGAGCAGGGAGCAGATGCCCCTTGGGAATGCCGAGAGCAGCCTCGGATTCGTCAGAGTATACTGGAGCCATTCTGCCAGACCTTGCATGGGTTACTGACCTTTGCCAGTGATGCGGCACGGCACGGGTCACAAGGAAACGGAGGGCTGGGCACATTGCCAGTAGTTGCATTGCACCATGCATGCTCCACCCTGTATGAGGCACCTGGCAGGCTGGCAGCCCTTGAATGTTCGCTGGGCCACTGTCAAGGGTATGCGAGGGGCGGTATTGCATGGGGTCTGATACCCGAGGAGGACAAGTACCGTACAACCGTACTTGTCTAGAAGATTGAGGTGGTGGTGGTCCTGCCACATGGTATGAAGCTCAAGCTACGTTGGCAGGGATATGGCCACTTGTGCACTGGAGGGAGTTACACCACACCTGGGGGGTCACAAGGAAGCGTATTCTTCTCCAGCCTTGGTTGCTGGTTTTGCTGTAGTTGTTTTTTGGTTTGCAGCTATAGTTTTAGTTTCGAGTTTAGGTTATGACAGTGGTGCTGGTGAATTGTTTGTTGCGTGTTCGCACTTATCTGCTCCAATATTTATTGGAGCAGGTGAAATATTGTAGTTTGAGCTGGTTGCTTGCATTTTGAGCTGTATCAATACAAGCTAGCAATATTCAGGAAGGTTTTGAAGTTATTTGTCTCAGCGACCTTGATTTTCACCGTTATCAATACAAGTCTGGCCTTGTGCATACCACCATAATATAGTTGGCTGGACATCTCACGGATTGTGTAATAAACCAAAACCAGCACCAGAGGTTTACCATAAAATCAATGAAACCAGCACCAGAGGTTTACCATAAAATCAATGAAACCAGAGGCAAGATTAGGAAAGGAGCACAATTACTGGTACGAAGGATAGTCAACATGCCCGGTTGGATCTCAAAAGGGTGCACTGCAGCTGCAGTACACAATACCACTAAATCTGGCAGGCTCTAAATAGCAGCGAAGGTTCTAATGCAGTGCTTGGAACCTAACCAGCTTCCTAGTAGCCATAACCTGCATTGACACGCAGAAGGAAAACACACACGAATGAGAAAAGAAACCACATTCTAGTAAAACTTCGCACATCAAACCACCCTCCATATGCGGTACCCCCCTACTCCCCTCATTCCCCTCCCAAAATCCCTGACAAACCCCTCCATCCATGGCCCCTCTCCTTCACCTGAAGCATCCATGGGGTTGGGAAGCGCGGCAGCCTCCGGCTCCTTAATATCCGTCACCACACAGTCACTCGTGAGGAAAATCTTAGCCACTGAAGCTGCGTGCTCCAAGCAGCAGCGCACCACCTTGGCGGGGTCGATAATGCCCGCCGCCATGAGGTCCTCGTACTCGCCCGTGCCCGCGTTGTACCCAAAGTTGGGGTTGGGGTTGCTGCGCACCTTCTCCACCACCACGCTGCCATTCACGCCCGCGTTCTTGGCGATCAGCTTCAGGGGGTAGCTCAGGGAGCGCTTCACAATGTCAGCTCCCACCTGAAGAGGGGAGAGGAGGGGTATAGGAAGGATGGATAAGGTTAGGACGAGGGAGGCATATGGATGGATGGGGAAGGGAGGGAGGTTGAAGCGAAAGGGAAGGAAGGACCACAGTGGAGGGGTGGCACCGGAAATCAGGGGGTGGAGGAGTGGGGATGGGGATAAAGCCCCACACAGCCTCACTCACACACGCTCACTCATTGGCGAGCGCATCCTTCATGGCGTCCGTCCTCCTGGATGTGTCAAGGGCTAAGGAGGCTTAGGAGGCTTAAGTGCCACATACGCATTCACTCAGCCTCACTCGGCAAAGCAACCAACCAGAACGAACCCCGCTCGCAATTTCTGCTCTTCATTGGTGAACGCGGCTATGGCAGCGTCCGCCTCAAGAGGCTCAGCAGCAGCCTCAAATGCAGCAGGAGCTCGCAGAATCACATCACCAAAATCACATCGAAGAATCACATCACCAAAACCCCCATTTCTACCACTCACTCAACCCCACTTTCGCAGCGCACCTTCTGCTCCTCGCCATCCAGCGTGGCCTTGATGGCGTCCACCTTGGTGGCCAGGCGCAGCAGCGTGCAGCCACCGCCCACGACGATGCCCTCCTCCACCGCCGCCTTGGTGGCGTTCAGCGCGTCCTCCACGCGCAGCTTCTTCTCCTTGAGCTCCGTCTCCGTCTGCGCGCCCACCTGGAGAAACGTGGGAGCAGGGTCGCAGGGGCACAAGGCATGTGAAAGGAACAGACGGGTTAGGTGGAGCCTCGAGGGTTTTGAGGCATTCAATGCGTCCTCCACGCGCAGCTTCTTCCCCTTGAGCTCCGTCTCCGTCTACGCGCCCACCTGTTGACCACAGGGTATCAGGGGCGCGGAGGGACACGACACGTGGGGGCATGGCCGGGTTCCGGTGAAGAGCTGGTCAGTGCTTCGTTCGTTGTGCGTGAAAAAATAGGCAGGAAGAGAAGGCATAGTTGGATTCATCCGTCGTTCCCCAGGTCAGCTCAATGAAAGTCAGGTCCGACATGCTACATGCCACGTGCCAGAAGCCACGTGCACACACGCCACGTGCCACGTAGAGCCATGCGCGGTGGCCCACCTGGATGATGGCGACGCCGCCCGAGAGCTTGGCGATGCGCTCGTTGAGCTTCTCCTTCTCGTACTCCTGCTCCGCCGCCTCGATCTGGTTGCGGATCTGCGACACGCGAACCGCCACCGCGTCCTGCGTCGACCCGTCGCCCACGATCGTCGTCGCGTCCTTGGTCAGCGTCACCTTGGCGGCTGTTCCGAGCACCTCGCGGCCCACCTTGTCGAGCGCAAGCCCCACCTCCTCGCGCACCACCGTGCCTGTTATGGGTTTGGCCAGATGGGGCGACGGTACGGGAACGGACAAACGAATGAGATAAGAGCAGGGCGGAGAGGGAAAGAGTATCCAAGGCCCCGGCCCACCTGGTAGAGCGCCAACCCCAGCAGGGTGGCCGGATAAGCCGACGGTACTTTTCCTTCCCCGCATCCCTGTGCCTGATCACCCTTCCTCCCTCCCCGTAACTACCCGCTCTCTGCCCGCTCCAAACCCTGAACCCTGTCGGACCTCGCCAACTCGCCTCGCCTCACTACAGCTCCCTCGAGGACACGCGACCGGGAGAGAGAGTCGCCGGGTAGCACGACGAGATCAAGGAAGCAAACAAGCCCCCGCCACACCTCACCTCATCGTAAGGATGGAAAAATCCTCAACGAATTCGCTCACGTGTTCGCAGAAATCTGTTTCTGAAGCGCCTCAGAAGCAAAAATCGTACGTCAAGAGAAGCCAACAAAAGAAACGTGCTTGTGCGGGGGCGCATCGTACCTCCGGTGAGGATGGCGATGTCATCGAGGTATTGGCTCTTGCGCTCGCCGAAGCCGGGCGCCTTGAGCGCCGCGACCTTGAGCGAGCCGCGCAGCTTGTTGACCACGAGCGTCGCGAGCGCCTCCTGTTCGATGTCCTCCGCGACGATCAGCAGCGGGTACGAGCCGCGGATCGCGTCCTCGAGAATGCCGATAATGTCGCGCGCCGTCGAGATCTTCTTGTCCACCAGCAGCAGCTGCGCAGGTGGGTAGAGAAGAGGAAAAGAGAGGGGAGACGGGACAAAAAGGAGGGAAAGAAGGGTGGGAGGAGTGGAGAGGTGAGACATGTGCAAGAAGGTTATGACAAATCTTCTGATGGGTGAGGTACCAGAGAGAAAGTACGTGGACGTTCCGGGATTTAAGAAAATGCGCCGTAACGTGGACTATTTGCTCGTTGGTCACTCCGTTGCTCTTCAAAATTTCGAGAAGGACACAAAACCCCGCGCGAACGGTCTAATACCGGACACTTGCGAGGCAGGGGAGGAAGACGAAAAAGTAGAGAAAGTGAAAAACGGGAAGGTGGGCTGGGGGGCCAGGAGGAGGGAGCGGGGGCGCGGGGAAAAGGAGAGGGAGAAGAACGGGAAGTACCTTGCAGTTGTCGTATTCAACGGCCATCTTCTCGGTGTCGGTGACGAAGTAGGGCGAGAGATACCCGCGGTCGAACTGCATGCCCTCCACCACGTACAGGTTGTTCTCCGCGCTCTTGCCCTCCTCTAGCGTCACCACTCCGCGGCGCCCCACCTTGCTCATCGCCTCCGCGATCATCTCGCCCACCTCCTCGTTGTTGCCCGCGCTCACCGCCGCCACTTGCGCCAGCTCAGCGTCCTCAACCTGAGGGGGAGCGGCACGCGTAGGAACCACGGATCGGATTGGTTGATCGCAGAGAAACGACGGATACGGAGTTGAATGTAGAAGAGCGGAGGACGGAGACGGCGGGGAGGAAAGCGGGATATCTGGCAGTGGAAATAACAGGTCACATCGACGGCTTCTGGAAATCGGAAGAGCAAAAGCTTCCATCGCACTGATCTGCCTGCATCGCTTCGCAACTTTAACGCGTACCTCCTTAGCGAGGAGCTTGAGCTCCTTGACGAGCGCGACGACCGTCTTGTCAATCCCGCGGGTGATCTGAATGGGGTTGGCGCCGGCGGCGACGACCTTCATGCCCTCCGCGATCATGCCCTGCGCGAGCACCACGGACGTCGTCGTGCCGTCGCCGGCAAGATCGTTCGTCTTGGCGGCAGCCTGGCGCACGAGCTTTGCGCCGATGTTCTCGACAGGGTCCTCGAGCTCCACCTGATTAGGTGATCAGGGTGCGACGTGGGGAGATTGGTCAATGAGAGGGGAGAGTTTTATGCCGAATGACGGGATAAGAGTGCATGTTCTTGCCATTGCCCGGAAAATCGAACAAAGATCTGAAAATTTTCGGAGTTATGGCACGGCGAGAGCGGCTCACGAGGTGTGAAGGGACAAATTGCGTAGGGGGAACCCGTAATGGTAAGCGCGATCTGGTTACAAGAAGTGATGGAGCAAAGAGGCTCACCTCCTTGGCGACGGTGACACCGTCGTTGACGATCTTAGGAGCGCCGTACTTGCTCTCCAGCACCACGTTGCGGCCCTTCGGACCCAGCGTGACTCCCACCAGGTCTGCGAGCTTGTTCACACCAGCCTATTTTCGCGAGAGAACGGCAACACGACAGCGAGACACCGAGGACAATAGAGACGACAGCAAATCTCAGTATTGATAAGATAGAAATTTCAGGGAAAATGAACCGCGATGGAGGACGCAGAGTGGCCAATGGTGGTGTAAGGAACGTCTTAAAGTGCAGACATAGTGGTCAGGACGGACCTGAAGTCTCTTGGTGGTGGCGCCGTCGCTGTTGAAGTGCAGCTCCTTCGCCATGGCCCGCGCACCGGCGGACTTGCCACGCCTGCCGACGCGCGCAATTCGCGCTGGCCGCACTTGAGCGACATCTCCCCGCGTGCCATATGACGACGAGGCTGGGGACACCCCGGAGCTAACCTTCAGACCCTCTGAGATAGCCAACGAAGCCATGACGTTTGATTAAAGAGAAGGCTTGCAAGTTGGCGAGCTATTTGGGGAGGATCAGGCGATAAAATCAAGCCTGAAAGCGATGCAAGGAAGCCAAGCACACGTCACGATGAGGAAGTGAATACGTGAAGTGCGTGGGAGAAATGCGAGCAGAGCAGTTGATGTGACTGATGATGAGTATGGCTGCTAGCAAACCGCGAGGGAAGTGGAAGGGTTTTCTAAGAGAAGGGCTGTTGCGCTGCTGATTTACACTGATGTGATGACGTGTCATCTAGCGGGGGGGAATTCGGTGACGGTAGGTGCTTGTGTGTGGAAACTTGCCTTCATCCATAGAGAGATTGTTGCCACGAAGGCATCCTTCAAATGCCAAGATTTATGACACGTGGACATTCGGCGGGAAAAAGAAGTGTCTGGGACCAGCGGCAGGGTGACATGGACATTCTAGAAAAGATCCAGGGAGCGAGCTTTCCACATCGGCAACGAAGGTTCTGGTGGGCTCTTGAGAACCCCGGACCCTCATTTTACGGCTAAGATGTCACCCCTTTGAATTGAGAAGAGACACAAGCCGAGTTCGCGAACCATCTTCAAAACAGAAGCAAAGTGGTGGGGTTGCAAGGCAGATTAGAATCTCCGATATAAGCATACGTTTTTAGGGAATGCACACATCCTTACGCGGACCGTTTTGAGCATTTTTCAATATAAATATCTTATCATGCAAAACAGAATGGAGGTAATTTCTCCACACATGACCAAATGCGACAGGAAAATTCATGGGAAAGAAAATGCTTGCTTCTGCATATGCATTCACAAAAATCAGATGGTAACTACGTAGGTATAGTCCTGTCCCTTCAAGTATACCGTCCGTATATAACGTCGTGTGGAACCCAAAAACAGCCCTAAGAGGGATGGGCTAAAGCGAATGCTCGCTCTCATACCCTGTCCCTTCATCACAATCTAAATTGCTGGTTCCCTTGGCCTCCTGCTGAGTGACTATCAACTCCTGCTGCTGAGTCAGACAGAGAGCAAGAGCCTCCTTTGCATCTGCACATGCCTTTCTGGATCCCACTCTTGCACCACCATCATCCCCACCACCACCACCACCACCACCTAATCAGGCCCTCAGATTCGTTTTGGCGTAGGCTGACTAGTCATCCTTAGGAATGGATTCATGGCTGAGTGGTCAGTGGAGTTGGTAAAAAAAAAAACTGATTTTCCAGGGTGTCTAGGAGAAAAAAAGCTGAACGATCAGCGTCGTTTTGCGGTGAAGTCTGATCCACTCATATCTTGTAAGAATTACAATTAACTATCAAGATCATCATCATCCTCGTCATCTTCTTCATCCTCACTATCACTAGAGCCTACATCTTCTACAGCATGGGGTTCATTTACTTCCATAGCTGTCGCTCTACCCTTCTTGCTGGTTTCCCCTTGGGTGGAAGTAGGGGCATTAGAGAACGGCTTTCTCTTCTTGTAGCTTCTCCAAATGTCGACCACCTCGTCGAACCGTGGCTCGTACGGCATCAGAGACATGCACATCAGGTCTCCCAGCCGTGCATCTTTGAGGCTGCTCCGCTGCCAGGACTTGATCACGTTCTGGCGAGAGAAGCCCCTTTCGCACTCCACAGTGCTAAGGGGAATCACCGCCACTGCTACCCACAACAGCACCAGGTTGGGGTAACTCTCCCGCCAGTCAGGAGTCTTCAAAATCGCCGTGAGGCCATCGCGGAAAGACCTCTCCCCCTTCGGTGCAGAGGCACGGACGGAGCAGAACAGTCGCAACTCTTTGTGGGCCTACCGCTTCTTGATACCTGGCATGGCAACAAGTGGAGGGGGAGGAAACAATGCAAGACGGGGCTTAGTGATGACTTAAGCAAACGGGAAGGAGGTGTATTGGCTGTAAAGAGAAACAATAGGATGGCATTGAAACAAACAGAAAACACAACTCCACCTGGCAGTATGTCTTCTGCCTGCTCTGCCTTGAACAGCGTCACCAGCGACTGCAGCCACTCAACGCATCGTGCGTGACGCTCCAACTTGCTCTTCGGCCACTCATCCGGCAGGAACAGTCGGACTCCCGACAACGAGTCCAAGTTACTCAGCCGACTCTCCAGGTTCGCCACGATGCGCTCGGCGAAGTCGGTGCGGCCCTCCACACAGGCGTCGTGATCACACGGGCCTTCGTAGCCTTTGACCTTGTCCTCGTGGAGCGTGAACTTGAATGTTGCTGGTCGCCCATCGGAGTCGGGCACCTCCACTGTCACCTCACGGTCCTTTCCGGGGCCGTAACGCTCGATGAAGGGCGACAGCCAGTGACTGAAGCCTCCGCCAAAGTCGTCCCCACAATCCACATATCGGCTCTCGATATGTGTTGTCGTGCGCTTGATCTGACCGTGCAGCGAGACAAGGTCCAGCTGAAGGCATCGGTCAGAAAGGGAAGACTGTCAGCGGCGTGTACAAACAAGTAATAACAAGCGAAGGCATGGAAATACACACTCAAACATACCTGGCGCTGCTGGAATGCCCTGTTCAGAATGTTCAACTGCTCAAGAACATCCGCAAGAAAGTACATGAAGAAGTGGAAACGGTAGGAAGTGGCGAGCAAAAACATTGCGGAATGAAACTCTTGCAGGAACACAATGACAGCAGGCCACACTGCCAGGATGCGAAGCAACGCATCCCCCCGAGAGAGCCACCGGACGCTATGTATCCCCTGGACCTCCAGGCTCGTCTCGGTGAAGAGCTCCTGGAGGTCCATGAAGCGCTGGTGTTTCGGGCCGGAACGGCCCAGTAGGTCCGACACCACACGGATTAGATCGTCTACCATGTTGAAGACTGGTAGATCTTCCGCCGCATCCTTAGCGGCGAGGGCTTCCCTGCATTAAACGAAATAAAAAGAATCAGTACACCGAGCAGAAAAAATACAATGACCGCGGTGAATGCAAAGCGGCACTAACCTGTGGGCGATGCAGTGACACGAGATGAGGTGGGGAATCCGCTGTCGCAGGCGAACCACCAGTCCGGCATTACTGCCCATCATCACCGACGCACCGTCGGTGCTGATGCCCGAAATCCTCTGCAGCTCAACACCCACGGCCTGCAAGTGAGACAGCAGAAGGCTCAAGAGGGTCGAGGCGTCAGCTTTCTCAACGGTGATCAACTGCATGAACTCTGTCACCACGACAGAATCCCGAACGAAGGTGGCGTAAAGAATAAGGTGTTTCCCCCGGACGCGGTCTGTGCTTTCGTCGATGGCGATGCCGATGAAGGGGCTTGTGAGGATATGCTCCAGCTGGGTCGTCTGTAGCCAGGTTGCCAGAGACTGGGTCAGTTCGCCGTAGCCGTACCTGCCAGAATACAAGGCATACAACATTAGTGACTCCGCGTCTGTAAAACAACGTAAACAGCAAAGGTTATAACCACTCACGTGGTATAATAAGTCCCATAGCCTTTCTTAGGGAAACCTTGAACGCCTTTCCGGGCAAGATACTGCACCAGCTTCACCCATGTCCCCATGGGTGCGTCGCAGTCGCTGATGAACAGAAGCGCCTCAAGCAGTGACGTGACCCGGATCTTCTATGCATCGACCGCTGCACGATGATCGCCGTTGCGGGGCTGTTTAGACGCGGCAGCAAGCAGGGCCTCTTGCTTCTCCAGTGCCAGCTTGTGTTTCCTCGTCCCGGCGTGCTTGCGAAAGGCCTGCGTCTGGACGTCGGTAGCACCTTTGCCTGTCCTGCCGCAACGTCCCCTGACACCGGCGTGCTTCGTGCAGAGACTGCATTTGAAAGCAGGCAGACCACGAACAGTTTTGGTAAGTACAAGCCATGGGAAACGCTCAATCCACTTACTTTTGTACTTATCCAGTGCCTCGGCAAAAATCGCATCAACAATCTCCTGAACGTTGATGTCCAGAGACGGGCGCACGGTGGCTTCGTTGACAACAGCTTCAGATACGGGGACGTTGGATGATGGCTTCCAGAAGCTCAGTTTCTGTTGCTTAAGCTTGATTGTGCGCGGTACTGACGACTTCGACGCCGATGTGCCGACGTGAACGGTGTCGGAAACACCGGGCGGCGCGGGAGGGACGGACCGGATGGAATCCGGGCTGGAAGGCACGTTCGGGTTACCCGCCACTGTAGGAACCGGACCGGGTGCAGTGGGCGCTGGAGGTGGTAGTTGGCGGCCTAAAGATCTTAGCAGAAGATCTAGCCCAGTACGGGCTTCTTCTATGGCGATGCTATCTGCGTCGTCTACATCGGCGTCACCCTCGTCGTCTGAAAGGCCGGCGCCATGGCCAGCCATGGCGGAACAGAGACGAAAGCGAGCCGAGCACAGAGAGAGCGTGCCGAGCACTAAGAGAGCGTGCAGAAAATTGTTTGGTGCTAGGGGCGAAGGAACAGAAATGAAACCCTAGCGGGCTAGGGTGTGGGGTGGGGGAGTCCAGCAACTGCCTGGGGATATGCAAGAACGAGCTGATGAAGCGGGCTTGGTTGGCAAGCTAACCGTGCCACGATACAAGGCGACGCGCCCCATGCACGTACCTGGTTGCAGCTTCGGGGTGGGTGGGGTGGGGGGGTTTCCTAATCGCGCGGCAACCATTTTGTGGTGCTGTGCTGCTGCAACGTGCGTGCGTTGTGCAGCGCTGTTGACTTTCCATTCGCCAGAGAGTGATGTGGTTGCCCAAACAACCAATCAGGAGCGAAGATACCTTCGCGATAAAACAGCAGTGAAGTGAACATTCGGGAATGATGCCATTCCCGAATGCGTTGGCAAGGAATCTTGCCATTTCGGCGTGATTGACGGAGGCGGGGTCGAAGCAGTGTACCTAGACGTCCGGAATTCAGGGCTCTTACGCGAATCTCCACTACAGGGATTTCAGCCCAACCCTTTCTTACAACTCTGACGATACAGCGTACCCTACTGGAAAAAATCTGATATTTCAGCAAAAACCGATTAAAAAAAACTGAACTTTCAGCAAACACTTTCAAAAAGAAACTGACACAGCAGCCTCAATATTCCCCCACCACTGAAATCACAGCCTTTTTACCCCTAATCAGCCTTTTTTCGCTGACTTCTGAGGGCCTGCACCTAATCCTCCTCTACCACCTATGCCTCTCCCTTCCCCTAAGCCACACACCGCAGCGACTCTTTCCAAGGGTCCAGGGCACGCAGCTCGCAGCAGGCACAAGGCTGCAGATCGGTTCAGCGCGGCGCATGCAGAACTCGCCAGAACGGGGCCTGCGCTGCGTATCAGCCGTTGCTCGCACTCCCGCGCGCGCTGCAGCAGCGGCTCGCACTGCGCCTCACGATGTCTCCCCGCCACGGTTTTCTCCCCGTTTTCGTGGCTGGAAACAGTGCTGCTCGTTAACACGCTGCTGGTGCCGTTTCTCACAGAGATGCTTGCCGAATCGTCCATCTCGTAGCTATTTAGCGGATTCGTTCCGAGAAGTCAACACGCTCTCACATTCCAAGCTGCATGATCCCAAAAACAGGCCAGCCATGGGCTGTGAACGGGCCTGAACGGTCCGTACAGATATCTCGCCGCGGCTGACTCCGTAACAGCCTAACTCCTCATTGTTTTCCCGGCCATCAACACCCACTGCGACCCTTGCTCGTCGAGAACCCCCGTCTCTCACGCTAACGATTTTCTGGGCTTCGTGCTTCTAGGCTAGCTTTCAATGAGTAAAACTAGCCAAAATTTATGATGAGTCAGCTGCTAGAATGCGACGAATTCGCGATATTGGCGAAAGCAAACTCCGCTGGTAAAGTGGCAACATTACGGAACACGAAATTTTGCAAAACAGTGCGGATCCTCGGTAACAGCCGCCCGGATATCACACCATCACTGAGTGACTTGCTCCAACAGCATTTGAACTCAACAATCTTCTCCACACTACATTGGCACTGTTATGAGTTGTAAAAGAGAGTGCGCAGGTTAACGAATAACGAGAAGGCGATTGAACAGGCTGATTTTACAATGAAGGCACACGCTAATATAGTGAGTAGGCTAGCTAGGAGGGGACTTCGGGTGAGTGAGGTTGGGTGCAGGTTTGGCGAAGAGAAAAGCCGAAGGCGACGCGAGGAGGCTCGGCATCGTTGATGTCGGCCAAACGTGCAGAGTCCGAAAACCGGGGCTGTACGCGAAGCAATCAACCCCGATAAGGAATTCGGGAAAATTCCTTACACTACCCCCCCCTTAAGCAAGGTGGTCAATATCCGCAGTTCGCTTGCGTGCGAGGTAATCAACAATAAGCGGAGAGTCTGCAAGCGAAGCGGAGGACACCCACGTGTCGTCTTCACTGGTGCGGTCAGTCCAACGGATTAAAAAATCCACGTGGCGGCCAGCGGCATCCAGGCGAACACAGTGCGCCAAGATCTTGGACGGGTCAAGTGTCGGTTCTGGGACTGGGCATGCCGTTGGTGCAGCCTGTTGCCGTGCGATGTCGGTCCTGGCTGGCACGAACTTGCGAAGTAAGCTGACATGGAAGGCGTCATGAATATGCCAGTCGTCGGGTAGCAGCAGTTTCGCGGTGACAGGTGTCACCATCTTGATGATCTTAAAAGGCCCGCAAAATCGTGGCCGCAATTTCGATGGGCCGGGCAGTCACATGTTCTTCGTGTCGAGGAGGACTAATTGCCTAGCTGTCAAGACGAGTTCCCGTCGTAAGAGGTCGGTGTATCTTCGGGAAGTGGTATTCGCCTTGCGAATTGCGTTCGCAGCCTTTTCTCGAACTTCCTGGAGTTTCGTCACGAATGTTTGTGACCGCGGAACTGGATTGTCTAGTGTAGTCGTTGTAGGCATCATCGGGTCCATCCCGTAATGTAAAAAGAACGGGGAGTGATTAGTCGTACTAGACGGGGCATTGTTGAAGGCAAACTCCAACATGGCGAGCGAGTCTTCCTAGCGAGCAGGGTCGGGGCAGTTCGTCCGTATCAGCTGCTCCATGGTCTGATTGGTCCGCTCGGTCTGGCCGTCCGTTTGCGGGTGGTATGCGGAAGAGAACTGTAGCTTCGTGCCGTATTGCGCCCACGTCTCCTTCCAAAATTTCGACGTGAACTTCGGATCTTGATCGCTGATGATCGCCGAGGGAATTCCGTGCAGTCGCACGACCGTTGAGATGAATAGTCGCGCAGTCTCTTTGGCTGTGATGGCTGTACGAGACGGTGCGAAGTGCACCATTTTCGTGAGGCGATCGATGACGACGAGGACAGCGTCGTTGCCGGATGGTCCAGCTGGCATCCCCGTGACAAAATCCATTGTCACTTGTTGCCACGTTCGTTCGGGTGGCTCGAGGGGTTGCAGCAGTCCAGCTAGCCGTTGACGTGTCGATTTCATGGCCTGGCACACCCTGCATGAGGACACATATCGCTGCATGTCGTTAGAGGAGTCAGGCCAATAATAGTGACGGTGCAGTAATTTCTGGGTTTTATCAACCCCGAAATGTCCGGAGAAGTTTGAATCGTGGACATCTTGGATAAGGAGTTCACGCAGCAGCCGGTAAGCGGGAACCCAAATCTGGTCAGTTCCGACTTTTAGGTAATAATCCCCTTTCTGCGTCGTGGCTTGCTGGTGGTTCCCAGTCGTGAAGAACGGGTCCGTAGTGTAGCCGTGGGTGAAAAGTCCGATAAGTAATGGGTTCGAGTGGTGAACGAGTACTGGAGCGGATTGTACTGTCGGTCGGGTCAGGGCGTCGGCAATGTTATTTGCCCCCTTCTTGTACGTGATGCGGTAGGTGAAGTGGCTCTCCATGTAGTCCAGCCACCGAATTTGTCGCGGGTTGAGGTTGGGCTGAGCTCGCAGATATTGGAGGGACTTGTGGTCCGTGGGAACAGTGACGTCGGCGCCTACCAGGTAGCATCGCCATAGTTTGAATGCTTGGATAATGGCGAGCATTTCCTTGTCGTGAATCGGGTAGTTGCTGCAGCTTGCGTGACTCGTAAGCTATCGGCTGCAGTCCGTTCCTGAAATCCTGGAGTAGCACAGCTCCGATCGCGAAATCGGAGGCGTCGGTGACGACTTCGAACGGCTTCGATGCGTCGGCGATGCGCAGCACAGGAGGGGAAACCAGATTTTTTTTCAACTCCTGGAAAGCCGCTTCTGCCTCCTCCCCCCACACAAAATTCTTGTCTTTGTGCAGCAGATCGGTTAGTGGGCCGGTTATCCCCGCCATATTCGGGATAAACCGCCGGACGTAATTCACGAATCCCAGAAAACTCTGTAGTTCCGTGATGTTCGTCGGGGGCTTCCGCTCCTGTATGGTCTTGATTTTCGCCGGGTCGATTTTGATGCCGTCGCGTGAAATGACGTGTCCCAAAGACTCCAACTCTTGCTTAACAAATTCGCACTCAGAGCCCTTGGTGATGAGTCGATTCTCCTGCAACCTTTTAAACATTGCGTCAAGGTCGCGGAGATGTTGCTCCCGTGTCTTGCTAAAAATGAGGATATCGTCCAAGTAGACGATGACGCATCGGTCTATAAGATCCCGAAAGACCCTGTTCATGGTCAACTGAAAAGTCGAAGGCGCGTTCGTGAGGCCGAAAGGCATCACGGTGAATTCGTAACTTCCGTAGCGGGTGCGAAACGCGGTCTTGTGGCAGTCGTCGGCGAAGACTCGGATTTGGTGGTAACCACCGCGTAAGTCAATCTTCGAGAAATAACGAGCTCCGCGAAGTTGGTCAAGGAGGTCGTCGTTGCGTGGGATTGGGTAGCGAGACTTGATTGTCACCCGGTTGAGCGCACGACAGTCTGTCAAACATATATGCTATAGTCTATCTAGGCTGTAGTGGGGTAGTTCTTAAAGGGTACAACACTTTTAGGTTTCCTACTTGTACCCACATGCTTGCTAGTTCAGTCATTCATTCGGTCAATATTCTAACATGGTATTATGAGCAGGTTCCCTCGTGGGAACGTTTTTTTTAGGGCCCACCACGAACATTTTTTTTCCTGCCCTGCCCGAAGCGCGCCTCGCGCCTGCCTTACCTGCGCCGTTGCGCGCCCTTCCCTAGCCGGCCCGTCGCGGCCCTGTCTCAGCCGGCCCGTCCCGGCCCGTCGCTGCCCGTCGCTGGCCCGTCGCCACACGTCGCGGCCCTGCCTTAGCCGCCCACTGCGGCCCCGTGCCACCCGTCGCTGGCCCGTCCCGGCCTGTTCCGGCCCGTCGCTGGCCCGTCCTGGCTCCTTTGCCGCCCGTCGTCGGCCCGTCGCCGCCCGTCCTCGGCCCGTTTGCCGCCCGTCGCGGCCTCTGCCCAGCACCCGCCCTGTCGCGGCCACTGCCCTGCAGCCGCCCCCTGTCGCGGCCCTGCCCTGCTGCCGCCCCAGTCGCGGCCCTGCCTTCGCTGCCCGTCGCGGCCTCTGCCCTTCAACCGCCCTTGTGAGAATAATAGGAATGAATGAGAGAAGATGAGTGCACTAGAAAGCAGTTGAGTACATATGGGAAACCCTAACAGGGTTGTACTCACTATAGAGTACCCCACTGCAGACTAGAGAAACATGATATTCTGACACACCCCCATAGTCAAAGTGGGGTATGATCAGCACAGCAAGCAAAGGAAAGCAAGCTCACGGTGGATCACAATGTCACCACACATTCTGAGCACAAGTACAAGAAGCAACAGTTTAAAGTTCACAAGTGTAAGCAAAGCTAGAGGCTATAGCAGAGGGCAAGTGTGGAGGAGGAGGGACTATGAGAGGAGAGGAGGTAGTGGGTGGCAGCTGAAGCTGCTGGCACACGGCGCAACTGGAGCAACTGGCACACGGGCAACTGGAGCAACTGGCACACTGGCAACTGGAGCAACTGGCACACGGGCTACTGGAGTAACTGGCTCCGCGACTAACTCTGAGCTGCAGGAGCAACGGACCCACGTGCGACTGGCGCAACGGGCTCACGGGCTACTGGCGCAACGGTCTCACGGGCGACTGGAGCTACGGGCTTCACGGCGGCCACCCCCCTTCAACCTCCCCAAACTATCCCACCCCCCTTTCACACACCCCCTGCTGCACCCCTAGGTTCACTCACACCCCACCCCCTAGCACCACTCCGTCGACTCCCACACACCCACCCCCCTCAGCGGCAGCTGCAGTAGTGGGAGACAGAGGAGGAGGAGGAGCAGGGGAGACCACACACCCGCCACCCCCCACTCGCCACCCCCAAACCCTAACACAGGGCAGGGCGGGATGGCGGGTAGGGAGGGGGGGGGGGGGGGGGGGGGGGGGCGACGCGCGGCCTCCCAGGGCGCCAGAACAGGCGGCAGAAGGGGCGACGCGCCCCCCCCCCCCCAGGTCGCGGCCCCGCAGGGAGCCGCGACGGGCGACGGGAAAAGAAGGGGGGGGCGGTGCACGGGTCCCCGATGCGCCGCGACAGGCGACGGAGCATGGCCGGGGCGGGGCCGGGGCAGGGTCGGGGCAGGGCCGGAGCAGGGCCAGGGCAGGGCCTCGACAGGGCCGCGACAGGGCAGGGGCAGGGCCGGGCGACGGGGCAGGGCCGGGGCGAGGCCGTGACGGGGCCGCGACAGAGGGCCGCGACGGGGGGCCGCGACAGGGGGCCGCGACGGGGGGCCGCGACAGGGCGACGGGGCAGGGCCGGGCAACGGGGCAGGGCCGGGGCGAGGCCGTGACGGGGCCGCGACAGGGCCGCGACGGGGTCGCGAAGGGGCCACGAAGGGGCCACGAAGGGCCGCGACGGGCAGCAGGGCAGAGCGCGAAACGCGCTAAGGGCAGGGCAGAAAAAAAAAGTTTAGCGAAGTGGTGGGCCCTAGGAAGGAACAGTCCCAGGAGGGAACCAGCTCTATACCATGTGAGAATAAAGGAATGAATGAGAGAAGATGAGTGCACTAGAAAGCAGTTGAGTACATATGGGAAACCCGAACAGGGTTGTACTCACTATAGAGTACCCCACTGCAGACTAGAGAAACATGATATTCTGACAGCCCTGTCGCGGCCCTGCCCTACTGCCGCCCCTATCGCGGCCCTGCCCTGCTGCCGCCCCTGTCGCGGCCCTGTCTTCGCCGCCAGTCGCGGCCTCTGCCCTACTGCCGCCCCTGTCGCGGCCCTGCCCTGCTGCCGCCCCGGTCGCGGCCCTGACCTAAACAGCCGGCTGCGGCCCTGCCCTGCACCCGCCCCTGGTAAGCACCCGCGCTTCCCTGCCGCGCCGTGCCGCCTGCTGCCGCGCCGCGCCGCCAGGAACCGAGCCGCGCCGCCCTGCCGAGCCGCGGCGCCCCACCGAGCCCCGCCGCCCAGCCGAGCCGCGCTGCTCTGCCGAGCCACTCTGCCCTTCTGCTTGCACTGCTTCTGCTGCCACTACTGCTACTGCTGCTACTACTGCCATTGCTGCTACTGCTGCTACTGCTGCTATGGCCAGCCCTACTGTTCTCACCTTTGATGCTGAGGGACGTGTAGTTGACTTTGACGTATGGGTTGACGACCTGCAACTCTTTCTTCAGTGTGACTCTAGGGATGGGGTATCCCTTCTCGATCACACATCCGGTGTCTCTACTGCACCTTCTGCCACTGCTGACAGTACGGTTCGCTCGCAGTGGACCACTCGTGACGCTGTTGCTCGCCTTGCTGTTCGTAGTCACCTACCGACTGCTGAGCACGCGCATTTTGGCCAGTACAAGACTGCTAAGTCTTTGTACGACGCTGTAGTTGCGCGCTACTCCTCCCCTGCCACTGCTGCCCTCAGCCGCCTCATGTTGCCGTACATTTTCCCTGACCTTGCCGCCTTTGCCACAGTCGCTGACCTCATTACTAACCTCCGCACTAGTGACGCCCGCTACCGCGCTGCCCTTCCCACCGAGTTCTGTGCCAAGAACCCCCCCCCATGTACATCACCCTTTACTACATAGTCAACCGCCTCCCTGACTCCCTTGCTTCAGTCAGGGACCACTTTCTCTCCCTTTGCCCCACCGAGCTCACTGTCGACCTCCTAGAGGAGCGCCTCGCTGCAGCTGAGAAGAGTATCTTAGCTATAGGTGCTTCTCGCGGCGACCGTCGCACCCCTTTCTTTGAGGGGTGTTCCCATGTCCCCCTTCTCCCCTCTGTTGCTTCTGCTGTTGCTGTCGACCTCGTTGGCACTGAGGAGGTCGGGGCTGCGTCTGCTCCCAGTGGGAGGCGCCGCAACAGCAAGGGCAAGGGGAGCAAGGGTGGTGGAGGGGATGGCGGGGGCAGCGGCGGAGGCGTTGGAGGAGGCGGAGGGGGTGGCGGTGGAGGTGGGGGTGGTGCCGGGAGTGGGGGCTTCAGTGGCGGCGGTGGAGGTGGTGGAGGCAGCGGCGGAGGTGGTGGAGGCAGCGGCAGCGGTGGTGGAGGCAGCGGCAGCGGTGGTGGAGGTGGCAGCGGCGGTGGTGTTGGTCGAGGTGGAGCCGCGCAGCGTGGAGGCTTTGGTGGTAGCCAGCGCCAGCAGCAGCCGTGTTCTCGTGAGACCCCGTCGGCCCAGCAGCTTTGTGAGTTGTACGCTGGGCGTGGGAGGTCTGGGGGTGCTGGTCCCTGCACTTACGTTCTTCGCACCGGCGGGCGTCATGGGGAGACGTGCGGGCTGCCACACACTGCGCAGCGCTGCTTCGGCCGCCTGACTGACGCCTGGCGCGCCCAGTTTCCTGACGTTGTTGAGCTCCCTCGCTGGGGTGATCTGCTTAGGCAGAATGTTGCTATCTTTGATCTTGATTTCGATGCTATCCTTGCTGCCATGTATGCTGTGACTGATAGTGCTGAGGGTGACTGTTACCTGAGTGTCCCGCCCGACCCGGGCATTGAGGCTGCTGCTCTAGGTGCTAGTGCGTCTGCTGCTCCAGGTACTGGTGAGTCTGCTGCTCCAGGTGCTGGTGAGTCTGCTCTCTCTGGTACTGCACCTACTGAGGCCTTGCACACTTTCACACTTGACTCTGGTGCTTCGCGCTCCTTCTTCCGCGACAGCACCACACTCACGCCGCTCAGTCGGCCTGTCGCAGTCTCCCTGGCTGACCTGTCTGGGGGCCCAGTCCTTGCGCACTCTTCCACGGTTCTACCATGTCCTGCGGCCCCGTCGGGCTTGCTGTCGGGACTCCACCTCCCCTCGTTCTCTACGAACCTGGTGAGTGGAGCTGACCTCCAGGACGCGTGGGTTGACCAGTTCACCCCTGGAGGTCAGCGTGTGACCCACTGCACTTGCTCTCGGACGGGCCGCCACTTGGCCACGTTCACCCGTCGGCCTGGGTCGAGTCTGTACACACTGACTACTGCGTCTCCTCCGGTCTCTGCGTCTCGTCAGGTAGCCGCGTCTAGTCAAGTGTTTGCTGCCGCGTCCAGGTCTTGTCCTGCGTCTGCCCCCTGCTCGTGTCGTCCTCTGTCGCACGAGACTCTCCTTTGGCACCACCGCCTTGGTCACCCCTCCCTGCCTCGTCTTCGAGGTATGGCCTCCTGTACCCTTGTCTCGGGTCTCCCCCGGTCCCTCCCTCCCCTTCCTCCGAGGCCTGCCCCTACCTGTATTCCGTGTGTCGAGGGCCGGCAGCGCGCTGCTCCTCACTCCTCCACGTTCCCTCCGACAGAGGCTCCCCTGCAGACTCTTCACATGGACGTGTGGGGCCCAGCCCGCGTCCGTGGACAGGGTCACGAGCGTTACTTCCTGCTGGTCGTTGACGACTACTCGCCTTACACCACAGTCTTCCCCTTGCGCAGCAAGGGTGAGGTCACTGAGGTGTTGATCGACTGGATCCGCGGTGCCCGTCGCCAGCTTAGCGAGCGTTTCGGCTCGGACCTTCCTGTTCTGCGTCTGCACTCAGACAGAGGTGGTGAGTTTTCCTCCGACCTTCTGAGGGCATTCTATCGTACGGAGGGCATCCACCAGACGTTCACGCTTCCGGCCTGCCCACAGCAAAATGGGATTGCTGAGTGCCGCATTGGTATGGTCATGGACGTTGCTCGTACGTCCATGATCCATGCGGCTGCTCCCCATTTTCTGTGGCCGTTCGCGGTTCAGTACGCTGCGCATCATATCAACCTTCAGTCTCGTGTCTCCTTGCCGGAGACCACACCTACTCTGAGGTGGACGGGGAAGGTTGGCGATGCGTCTGTGTTCCGTGACTGGGGATCTCGAGCTTTTGTCCGCGATACTTCAGCGGACAAGCTGCCCTCCCGTGCCGTTCCCTGCGTCTTCCTTGGCTTCCCCCCTGACGCACCCGGGTGGCAGTTCTACCACCCCACCTCGTGTCGTGTTTTGTCCTCTCAGGACGTCACGTTTGACGAGTCGGTGTCTTACTACCGTCTCTTTCCCTACCGCACTGCCTCTGTCCCCCCCCCCGCCACTCTTCCTAGCACTAGGTACTCCTCCAGTAGACCCCCTCCCCCCTCAGGGTCCTGCCCCCTCAGGTGTGTTCCAGGTAGACCCTGCCAAGCCGGTCGAGGTAGCTGTCGACTCAGGCGCTGCTAGGGGTGCTGAGCCTGCGGGTGCGGGGACTGGGGGTGCTGAGCCAGGGGTTTTTGTGTCTGAGGGTGCGGAGCCTGGGGTTGCTGAGCCTGAGCGTGTGGAGCCTGGGGGTGCTGAGCCTGGGGGTGCTGAGTCTGGGAGTGCTGAGCCTGGGGGTGCTGAGCCTGCGCGTGCTGCGTCTGGAGATCCTCCGGGTGTCCCGTCGCGGCGGGAGCCCCTCTCTCCGCAACAGCTTTGTGAGTGGTACGCTCGGCGCTGTCGAGGTGCTGCTGGTGCTGCTGGTGCTATAGGTGCTGCAGGAGCTGCTGGAGGTGCTGCTGGTGCTGGAGCTGCTGGAGGTGCGTCTGGAGCTGCTGGAGGTGCTGCTGGTGCTGGAGTTTTTGGAGGTGCTGCTGGAGGTACTGGTGCTGTTGGAGGTCCTGCTGGTGTTGGAGCTGCTGGAGGTGCTGGAGCAGCTGGTCCTGGAGGTGCTCGTACTGGAGGTACTGGAGCTGCTGGGGCTGGTGGTGCTGCAGGAGTTGGAGCTGCAGGTGCTGGAGCTGTTGCTACTGGAGGTGCTTCTGGAGCTGGAGCTGCTGGAGGTACTGGAGCTGGTGGTGCTGCGGGAGTTGTAGCTGGTGACCCTAGAGCTGAGGGTACTAGTGATGTCTCTGATGTTTGTGGAGGCGCTGCGCGGCCGCAGCCGTACTACGTTCCGCTCCTTCAGCAGGTTCTTGGTCTCCCACCTTCTCCTGGTCCTACTCCTCCTTTACTGAGTCCACCGCCTGTCCAGTCACAGTCGCAGTTACAGCCGACCTCTCCACTGCCTGGTCCTTCTCCTTACTCTGGACCGACACGAGGTCTTACGGAGCGTCGTGAGCCTCAGTCGCGTCCTGTGTCACCTGAGTCTCATCCTGCGTCACCTGAGTCTCGTTCTGCGTTGCCTGTCCGCACTGTTCGCGCTGGTCGTCGTGTTTCGCGTCCGCGTCCTCCTCCTGTCCCTGGCACTCACTCTATGACATTGCGTCCTTCCACTGCTCCACAGCGTGTCCCTCTGCCGTCTCCTCCTGCGTCCTCTCTTCCTGACGGTCCGGACCCGGAGTCTGACTCCCTTCGTGCTGCTAGTCCTACTGTCACGCGCTTTCTGGCCACTGCTGTCACTGACCCTTCGTTTGAGTCCACTGCTGCGTCTGCTCTCGTTGCTGAGCTTGTTGACTTTGCTGCAGCCTGTCGCCTAGACTTCGCCACTAGTCTTGTTGCTGAGTCTGCGTCTGCGTCTGTCTGTCCTCCGTCCGTCGGGGGTGCGTGTGCTTTTGGCACGGACGTTCTTGAGGACAGACAGGAGGAGTTTGAGTGCTTTGCCACTGCTGTATCTCATCTCGTGTCCATGCTGCTTGCCCCTGAGGGAGACCTGGATGCTCCAGACATCCCGACCCCACGCTCTTACGCAGAGGCGATAGAGGGTCCCTACTTCTCTCAATGGCAGGCAGCCATGGACGCCGAGATGGCTTTCTGGAAGTCCACAGGCACCTACGTCGACGAGGTTCCCCCGCCTTGGGCGAACATAGTCAGTGGCATGTGGATCTTCAGGGTGAAGCGGCCGCCGGGTTCTCTGCCTGTCTTCAAGGTGCGTTACGTTGCACGTGGCTTCAGTCAGCGACAGGGAGTTGACTTCTTCCAGACCTTCTCCCCTACCCCGAAGATGACCACTCTTCGGGTACTGCTGCACGTCGCCGCTCAGCGTGACTACGAGCTCCACTCGCTTGACTTCAGCACAGCCTTCCTACAGGGCAGCCTGGACGAGGAGATCTGGCTGCGCCGACCACCTGGCTTCACTGGGTCGTTTCCTGCTGGTACCCAGTGGAGCCTCCGGCGGCCAGTCTACGGTCTCCGCCAGGCACCCCGTGAGTGGTACGACACACTGAGGACGAATCTTGCTGCTCTTGGTTTTGCTCCTTCCACTACTGACGCGTCGCTGTTTTTACGCACTGACACCACTCTGCCGCCGTTCTACGTTCTCGTGTACGTAGACGACTTGGTCTTTGCTACTGCTGACACTGAGGCACTCGCCCACGTGAAGTCAGAGCTGCAGAAGAGACACACGTGCACAGACCTAGGTGAGCTCACAAGCTATCTTGGCTTGCGGATAACCCGGGACAGAGCACAGCGCACCATTACCTTGACTCAGTCACACATGGTGCAGCAGTTCCTTCAACGCTTCGGCTTCACGTACTCCTCGCCACAGTCCACTCCTCTGCCTACCGGTCACTCACTCTCAGCTCCACCTTCGGACGAGTCCGTAGAGCCGAGTGGCCCATATCTAGAGCTTTTGGGCTGCCTCATGTACCTGATGACTTGCACACGACCTGTCTGGGGGCCCAGTCCTTGCGCACTCTTCCACGGTTCTACCATGTCCTGCGGCCCCGTCGGGCTTGCTGTCGGGACTCCACCTCCCCTCGTTCTCTACGAACCTGGTGAGTGGAGCTGACCTCCAGGACGCGTGGGTTGACCAGTTCACCCCTGGAGGTCAGCATGTGACCCACTGCACTTGCTCTCGGACGGGCCGCCACCTGGCCACGTTCACCCGTCGGCCTGGGTCGAGTCTGTACACACTGACTACTGCGTCTCCTCCGGTCTCTGCGTCTCGTCAGGTAGCCGCGTCTAGTCAAGTGTTTGCTGCCGCGTCCAGGTCTTGTCCTGCGTCTGCCCCCTGCTCGTGTCGTCCTCTGTCGCACGAGACTCTCCTTTGGCACCACCGCCTTGGTCACCCCTCCCTGCCTCGTCTTCGAGGTATGGCCTCCTGTACCCTTGTCTCGGGTCTCCCCCGGTCCCTCCCTCCCCTTCCTCCGAGGCCTGCCCCTACCTGTATTCCGTGTGTCGAGGGCCGGCAGCGCGCTGCTCCTCACTCCTCCACGTTCCCTCCGACAGAGGCTCCCCTGCAGACTCTTCACATGGACGTGTGGGGCCCAGCCCGCGTCCGTGGACAGGGTCACGAGCGTTACTTCCTGCTGGTCGTTGACGACTACTCGCCTTACACCACAGTCTTCCCCTTGCGCAGCAAGGGTGAGGTCACTGAGGTGTTGATCGACTGGATCCGCGGTGCCCGTCGCCAGCTTAGCGAGCGTTTCGGCTCGGACCTTCCTGTTCTGCGTCTGCACTCAGACAGAGGTGGTGAGTTTTCCTCCGACCTTCTGAGGGCATTCTATCGTACGGAGGGCATCCACCAGACGTTCACGCTTCCGGCCTGCCCACAGCAAAATGGGATTGCTGAGTGCCGCATTGGTATGGTCATGGACGTCGCTCGTACGTCCATGATCCATGCGGCTGCTCCCCATTTTCTGTGGCCGTTCGCGGTTCAGTACGCTGCGCATCATATCAACCTTCAGTCTCGTGTCTCCTTGCCGGAGACCACACCTACTCTGAGGTGGACGGGGAAGGTTGGCGATGCGTCTGTGTTCCGTGACTGGGGATCTCGAGCTTTTGTCCGCGATACTTCAGCGGACAAGCTGCCCTCCCGTGCCGTTCCCTGCGTCTTCCTTGGCTTCCCCCCTGACGCACCCGGGTGGCAGTTCTACCACCCCACCTCGTGTCGTGTTTTGTCCTCTCAGGACGTCACGTTTGACGAGTCGGTGTCTTACTACCGTCTCTTTCCCTACCGCACTGCCTCTGTCCCCCCCCCCGCCACTCTTCCTAGCACTAGGTACTCCTCCAGTAGACCCCCTCCCCCCTCAGGGTCCTGCCCCCTCAGGTGTGTTCCAGGTAGACCCTGCCAAGCCGGTCGAGGTAGCTGTCGACTCAGGCGCTGCTAGGGGTGCTGAGCCTGCGGGTGCGGGGACTGGGGGTGCTGAGCCAGGGGTTTTTGTGTCTGAGGGTGCGGAGCCTGGGGTTGCTGAGCCTGAGCGTGTGGAGCCTGGGGGTGCTGAGCCTGGGGGTGCTGAGTCTGGGAGTGCTGAGCCTGGGGGTGCTGAGCCTGCGCGTGCTGCGTCTGGAGGTCCTCCAGGTGTCCCGTCGCGGCGGGAGCCCCTCTCTCCGCAACAGCTTTGTGAGTGGTACGCTCGGCGCTGTCGAGGTGCTGCTGGTGCTGCTGGTGCTATAGGTGCTGCAGGAGCTGCTGGAGGTGCTGCTGGTGCTGGAGCTGCTGGAGGTGCGTCTGGAGCTGCTGGAGGTGCTGCTGGTGCTGGAGTTTTTGGAGGTGCTGCTGGAGGTACTGGTGCTGTTGGAGGTCCTGCTGGTGTTGGAGCTGCTGGAGGTGCTGGAGCAGCTGGTCCTGGAGGTGCTCGTACTGGAGGTACTGGAGCTGCTGGGGCTGGTGGTGCTGCAGGAGTTGGAGCTGCAGGTGCTGGAGCTGTTGCTACTGGAGGTGCTTCTGGAGCTGGAGCTGCTGGAGGTACTGGAGCTGGTGGTGCTGCGGGAGTTGTAGCTGGTGACCCTAGAGCTGAGGGTACTAGTGATGTCTCTGATGTTTGTGGAGGCGCTGCGCGGCCGCAGCCGTACTACGTTCCGCTCCTTCAGCAGGTTCTTGGTCTCCCACCTTCTCCTGGTCCTACTCCTCCTTTACTGAGTCCACCGCCTGTCCAGTCACAGTCGCAGTTACAGCCGACCTCTCCACTGCCTGGTCCTTCTCCTTACTCTGGACCGACACGAGGTCTTACGGAGCGTCGTGAGCCTCAGTCGCGTCCTGTGTCACCTGAGTCTCATCCTGCGTCACCTGAGTCTCGTTCTGCGTTGCCTGTCCGCACTGTTCGCGCTGGTCGTCGTGTTTCGCGTCCGCGTCCTCCTCCTGTCCCTGGCACTCACTCTATGACATTGCGTCCTTCCACTGCTCCACAGCGTGTCCCTCTGCCGTCTCCTCCTGCGTCCTCTCTTCCTGACGGTCCGGACCCGGAGTCTGACTCCCTTCGTGCTGCTAGTCCTACTGTCACGCGCTTTCTGGCCACTGCTGTCACTGACCCTTCGTTTGAGTCCACTGCTGCGTCTGCTCTCGTTGCTGAGCTTGTTGACTTTGCTGCAGCCTGTCGCCTAGACTTCGCCACTAGTCTTGTTGCTGAGTCTGCGTCTGCGTCTGTCTGTCCTCCGTCCGTCGGGGGTGCGTGTGCTTTTGGCACGGACGTTCTTGAGGACAGACAGGAGGAGTTTGAGTGCTTTGCCACTGCTGTATCTCATCTCGTGTCCATGCTGCTTGCCCCTGAGGGAGACCTGGATGCTCCAGACATCCCGACCCCACGCTCTTACGCAGAGGCGATAGAGGGTCCCTACTTCTCTCAATGGCAGGCAGCCATGGACGCCGAGATGGCTTTCTGGAAGTCCACAGGCACCTACGTCGACGAGGTTCCCCCGCCTTGGGCGAACATAGTCAGTGGCATGTGGATCTTCAGGGTGAAGCGGCCGCCGGGTTCTCTGCCTGTCTTCAAGGTGCGTTACGTTGCACGTGGCTTCAGTCAGCGACAGGGAGTTGACTTCTTCCAGACCTTCTCCCCTACCCCGAAGATGACCACTCTTCGGGTACTGCTGCACGTCGCCGCTCAGCGTGACTACGAGCTCCACTCGCTTGACTTCAGCACAGCCTTCCTACAGGGCAGCCTGGACGAGGAGATCTGGCTGCGCCGACCACCTGGCTTCACTGGGTCGTTTCCTGCTGGTACCCAGTGGAGCCTCCGGCGGCCAGTCTACGGTCTCCGCCAGGCACCCCGTGAGTGGTACGACACACTGAGGACGAATCTTGCTGCTCTTGGTTTTGCTCCTTCCACTACTGACGCGTCGCTGTTTTTACGCACTGACACCACTCTGCCGCCGTTCTACGTTCTCGTGTACGTAGACGACTTGGTCTTTGCTACTGCTGACACTGAGGCACTCGCCCACGTGAAGTCAGAGCTGCAGAAGAGACACACGTGCACAGACCTAGGTGAGCTCACAAGCTATCTTGGCTTGCGGATAACCCGGGACAGAGCACAGCGCACCATTACCTTGACTCAGTCACACATGGTGCAGCAGTTCCTTCAACGCTTCGGCTTCACGTACTCCTCGCCACAGTCCACTCCTCTGCCTACCGGTCACTCACTCTCAGCTCCACCTTCGGACGAGTCCGT